CGCGAGCCGGCTCGAGCTCGTTTACAGTGAGACGAGCTTGAGTTCGAGCTCTCTTTCCAACTAACGAGCCGAACTCGATAAGTGCCTAAACTCGACTCGTTTACACCCCTAACTTCAAGTCTATCTCCACATTTTGAGCATATCACACCAAACAAGCTCACCAAATAGACTATATCCAGTGTACCCAGGGGTTGAGGCTTCCCACAATGTAGGTTCCAAGAAGGAATTGATGTAGTCAGCCTCAATTTGGCTATTCCTGCTCAATATGATTTGGCTACGAATTATGCAAGCAAAGTCCTGGATAGCATTCGGGTTACATATTCTGGAAACAGATATGTAGGACTAATGCAAGTTTTAATAATCTATAGGAATCTCATGGACAGAATCAATCCTAAACCAAGTAAAAACAAGTTACCTGCTTACGATAGCCCCGCCCTCTACTGTTCCTGTAATATATTAGCAGCACACATTTTAACACCATAGCCGCCTGCCTAACCATTGTATCTGAGAATAATTGATGGGAAAGAAACTGTTAAAATACACCTAGACAAAATCTGAAAGAAAAGATTAAGATGTATAAAACCAGATTGAATACATTTAACACCATGAACCTTAACACTCGTGACTTGTGAGCACATGCATACCGAGTGACAATGTCAACTACCCAAATAAATAGTTTTATTTTTTTTCTAGGAAACGCAAGTAACTCAATAATTCTATGAATGTGTCTGGAGTAAAGACAGCGGGAAGAAAAAAAAGAACGAGTTACAAGCCTACAATGCAGTAAAGAAAATGTCAATCCGAATATAACTGTTTTGTAATAACCAGCAATGCGGTAAAGAACATAAAAATAACTTTCCATAGCCTATATAGGATAGAGTTGAGGGCCTCTAACTCAAAGAAATGCCTAGCAATGTTATCCAAAGTGGCAATCGCCCTCAATGTGATGCAGTTCTCCAACACACGAGAAATTTAACACCACAACAGATGCTTACCCGAGTAAAGTGAGGCAATAACAATAAAATAACTATATCACTTAAAAACTTACTTTAATTAAAAGAAATACTGTTAAGCTGTATAAAATAATAATCATAGCATGAAACTAAATTGAGAAAGATGATGAATCTTCAAATTATATTGCATTCCAAGTTGAAAAAAAATGCTAAATATTTTATCCTAAAAAAATAGGCAATTAAAATCTTAAAGTGTTGTATGCATAACCTAGAATCTAATCTTCAGTAAAATTTATTTCATCTGTGCCATCAACCAACTTCCATTCTCTCTCATTGGAATTGTAACTTTCTATTTGTTCAACTGCCACATAAAAACCATCCTTTTCATTCTCAAAATGTACAAATCTAAAACTTCAAGTGCTTCCACATACATTTGATCTATCCTGTTTCCAATAGCACCGCCTTGTTGCTCGACTCTCTTCCCATCATCCCATATCATGCTATCATGATTAAAAACTAACTCATCTACAGCATTTAATGTATTATAACCCATCTTTCAAATCCAGGGAAGGAGCTAACTTCACTTAATAATGGCTAAAGGCAAGGAACTTTCCTAGGCATGGCTCAATTACAGAACCCACTTGAGAAGTGTGCAAGTCCCTACAGTGCCAACCTCACCTCACTCACGGGTCTAAGCAAGAACATAGATCATTTACAAATGCTATGAAACAGTCATGTTCAATTGATTTGTCTGGTCGAAAATGATACAGAAATGATAAGACCAGTAAGAGAAATAATGCACTTGCATATAGGCGATAAAAGAAAACCAGGGGTGAAGATCATGGAGGGAATCACCATTGGGGTTTGCAGAAAGAATGGTGGCCATGTTTGAAAAAATCTTTCTTGTCCAACTAATGCATTTGCCCAATCTAAGAAATGCATGTTACCAAAAAAATCAAACTACATTTTTATACACAAAAAGTACATATTTTTAACATTTTGCATGTACATATGAGCATGTAAATGCATACATACACATAAACATTAAAATATATGTAGCTGTAATTGGTTTAATCAACCTCAGACAGCCTTAATGAGCAAAATCATTCTGGGGCATTGAATTACAGGAGATTATTGAAGCCAAAAATGCCTTCCTTCAAAGCTATGTTGCACGGATACTCCTATTTAAGAGACATGTTGTATCACACACGTGTGGGATACGGATACGCCTTCGATACGGCACAGATACGTGTCGGATACGGCTTTGCCGTGTCCAATTAAAATATTATTTAAATTTGACCGGACATGCTATCGGATATGCGTGTCCTATTAAAAAAAAAAACGGAGCCGCAATTTGCCCAATTCATTTCGGCTATCCGCATTTGCGGCTTAAACATTTCGGCAAGCTAGATTTTTCGTTTCCGCACAGGTGTTCGTCTTCTTCGTTATAATCAAAGGAGCGGCTCGACGACGTGAGCATAAAAGCAGACAGGATCATCCTTCATCGACGAAGAGGCTTGACGACGTGAGCATTAAAGTTGACAGGATCAACCTTTGTCAATGGAGCAAACAGTGAAGGCAACGTGAGCAGTGAAGGTTCGTTTTATTTGTGAAGGTTCATTTTCTTCGTTCTTCATCGACGAAGCGACTTGGTACTCAGTACCGCTCGCTCGGTACCGCTTGGTACTGGAACTCAATGCCGCTCGGTACTGCTCAATATTCAGTACCTCTCCGCAACGCTCGGTACCATGCTCAGTATCAATGCTCGGTATCGCTCGGTACAGAGGGATACCGAATGGAACCAAGCGGCACCGAGAAGGTAGAGAAAACTTTAAAACAGCTGTTATAATACAAATTTGTTCAGGGGGCGAACCCCGCCAGGGTAGCGTCCCCTTGTTCCCCTGGTATAGTCGCAACATATCTACAGTTTTACTTAAATTTTTTTATGTTTCAAATTCATATGGTTTAATTTGTGTCGATCCTTCGTAGGATAATAAGCTCTAGTGGTGTAGGAATTGGGTCTGATGATGGTCCATCGGAGACAAATATTGAAGATAACAAACCTCTGTGGGGTTATGTAACAAAAATAGGTAAAACGTCAGAAGGGGGAGGCAATATTGCATTCAAATACAATTTTTATAATGCCACATACAAATGATCATATTATAGAGTGAAAGCTCATTTGTTGAAGATTAGTGATCATGGAATTAAAGTATGTCCGAATATAAGCTCATCACAAATGGTTGAATTACAAAGAAAAATCAATGAAGCTGAGTAAAGGAGTAAAAAAGAGCTTCCAAAATATATTCCACTTCCAAGCACTCATGCTTCATATCCTTCATCATCTTCTTCAATTAGAAGTGATGATAGCATTGTAATCAACGGGCCTTTTCGGATGGAGAGATTTGAATCAAAAAGAAAAAAAACATATTGTAGATAGTGTTTTGGAGAAAGCATTTAATTTACAAATGAGAGAACAACTAGATGGGAAAACAGTTAGAATGTTTTACTCAGCTGAACTTTCTTTTAACCTAGCACGGAATCCACATTATAAGAATGTCTTTACCTATGCATGCAATAATAATCTTGCAGGATACGTGCCACCATGATATAATGTCATTCAAACGAAGTTGTAGCAAAGAGAGATAATATTGAGAAGTTGCTCGAGCCTACTAGAAGAGTTTGGAAGGAAAAATGATTTACTTTGGTTTGTGACGAGTGGACAGATCCACAAAGAAGACCACTTATCAACTTCATGGCTGTAACAGAGAGCTATCATATGTTTATCAAAGCTGTAAACTGTGAAGGACAGTACAAGGATAAGTTCTTCATTTCTAATTTAATCAAAGAAGTTATCATGATGGTGAGGCCTTCAAACATCATTCAGGTCATTACTCATAATGCACATGTTTGTAGAGCTGTAGGTCTACTTATAGAGCAAGCCTATCCTCATATTTTCTGAACACCATGTGTTGTGCATACACTTAATCTTTACTTAAAGAACATCTGTGCAGCTAAGAAAATCGAGGCAAACGAAATCACCTAAAATGAATGTCATTGAATCACAATGATTGCTAGAGATGTGGTTGTAATTAGGAATTTTATTATGAATCACTCCTTGAGACTCTCTATGTTCAATGATTTCTCTAATTTGAAGATGCTTGCAGTTGCTGAAACTCGATTTGCCTCAGTTATAGTGATGTTGAGAAGATTCAAAAAAATAAAAAAATGTTCTTCAAGTTATAGTGATCAATGACAAATTGTCATGTTATAAGGAAGATGATGTTGGAAAGACTATGTATGTAAATGAGAAGCTTTTAGATGATTTATGATGGGATGAGATTGAATACATCATAAATTTCACAGATCCAATTTATGATATGTTGAGAATAGCTGATACGGATAAGTCTTATTTACATCTCATTTATGAGATGTGGGATTCAATGTTAGCTAAAGTAAAAGAAATTATATATATATCAGAGGAAAACACTTCATGAATACTCAAGTATCTGGGATGTTATTTATGCTATTCTAGAAGATATGTGGAGCAAAAATAATACACCTTTATATTGTTTGGCTCACTCATTAAATCCCAGGTAAATTTCAACATTTTTTTTATTAATTCATAATTTGTTGTTTAGTAATTTCAATATCTTTTTATTATTTCATTTTAATATTATTTGAAGATATTCAACTAAAGAATGACTTCAAGATGATCCTCAAAGAGTTTCTCCACAAAAAAAATTTAAAAATTTCAAATATGAGGAAAACATATTTGAAGCGTTATTTTCCAAATGAGGATGAGAGAAGAAGTGTCAATATTGAGCTTGCTATTTTTTTTGGTTATTTAGAGTTTATTTTTTTTTTTTTTTTTGTTATTTAGAGGACTTTGGTGATCAAGAGTCATTGTGTGATAGGTGGAGAATTGATTTGAAAATGTGGTGGATTATACATGGAGCTTCAGCACCTCTATTTCAAACAATCGCCATAAAATTGCTTGACCAAGTTTCATCCTCATCTTGTTGCGAAAGAAATTGGAGCACATACTCGTTCATCCAATCAATGAAGAGAAATAAAATTACTCCACAACGGGCTAAAGATTTAGTTTATTTGCATACAAACATTTGGCTTCTCTTAAGGAAAACTCCAACTTATATAGAACGAGATAATAGGATGTGGGATGTTACTGGAGATGGATTTGAATCTCTTGAGAATATGGGAATATTAGAAATTGCTAATCTTTCACTTGATGAGCTTGAATTGGAAGCTATGATATTTATTGAAGATGATATAGAAATTCAAAGACAAACCACTAAAGAAGCTAATCATATCATGCCTTCTATTGCATAGTTGAAACTTCATGTGCTGAATAATTTATATTTTTGTTTTTGTTGTTGTACTAGACATTTAAATATTTAATGCTTACTTTTATTTTCATATTATAAGATACAATGCTACAAATAATGTTGCTTTCAATTTTTTCTGTCATTTCAAATATTACACTTACATTACTTTCTTAATTTTAATCTATAATTTATATATTATAATGTCGTATCTGTGCCGTATCCGTATCCTGTATTTTTAAGAATTGACATGTCCCGTATCCGTATCGTGTCATATCCGTGTCGCTGTATGCGTATCGGTGCAACATAGCTTCAAAGTTAGTAATTACACTAAATAAGGACTAAACAGACCATACTCTAGTCACATACAAGACATAACATGTACATAATTCTAGAATAATATTTGATGGCATGCATTCTTGTTAACATAGAATAGAAGGTCTTCATAAAAATGGAAAGCTGAGAAAATACCATTCACCAAAATTATAAAAATGGCATGCCAGAAGGGTGGAATTTCCTTTGGAGGCAGTAGCACCAGTGGGTTCAACAGGTCATCATTCCTATACCACCAGTATAGGCCAAAGACATGAAACATGAAAACCACTATTATCCCAACAAGCAAGGGCATTTTCCTTTCCCCCTGCAAAATCAATAAAAAATATGATAGAGCATGCAAGCACTAGTGAATAATTTTTACAATCTCATATATATATATATTCCCTTTTTTCCCTTTTAACAGAGTAGTTAAGCTAACGAGTGTCATACTAAACAAGTTCTGAAAGAGAAGCTGAAAATTTCATCTTAAAAGAACTTCAACCAGAAATGGTTTCATTCATACTTAACAAATGCTCTATGCGTGAATTGATGATCAAGAACAGTCCTCAAAATAGAGGCATCTAGTCCAATACATAAATAACATACAAAAGGTTGAACGTTAAATATGATACCAATCCAACAGAACAACAATAAACTAATTAATTTGTGTACTTGGTTCTAGCTAAACAAGTTCACTGAAGACACATCACGGTGGGGATGCTCCTATCAGAAATAGTATGCTTGTGCTAATATAACTTCATAATTGAAGAACAAATTGCACGGAAAGCATGACAATTAACATGAAAGAACACTATTTGCAAGAATGCCCTTGATGTTTTTAAATTATTTAATTAGCTTCATTTCAACTATTTAGGTGAAGTTCACAATCCTTCTTTGCCATCCATTCTACATTCTAGTTAAACAATGAATTTGATGTTAACTGCAGATCAATTATATTCAAAGTGTTTTCCAGCAAAAATGGCAAAACATAGAGAAAACCTCAACGCATGTAGCCATTATCAAAAGTTTTGAATGTGTGATTTAGCAAAATTTACTACACCTTTAAAGCAGTTTGCTTCCGTAATATGTCATTTGATTTGAACATCACGGCTGCTATCCATATAGTGACAAAGAACCCTGCCATCAGAGCAGCAAAGTAGTCAGTCAATAATTAAACATTATAAATGATAAAAAATAGAAAGGCATTTAAATGTCCAACAAAGTTTA